CCCTAAACAAGATTATTAATTATCTTATTAAGTGTGATTACAAGTACAAATTCCCTTTAAACTTGCATAAAAGGCGTGATCAAGCAATACAATAAATAAGCATCAAGCAACATGATAAATCATAATAATAATAATAATAATAATAATAATAATAATAATAATAATAATAATAATAATAATAATGATAACAATAAATATAACAATCATAATAATCAAAATTAAAATAATCATGTTAACAATAAAGCATAATAATAGCAAGATCCTAGGCATGATACTAACAAGATTAATAACAAACCCTAGCATGTCATTAAACATAAAAGGATAAAGCTTTAACCCTGACATGATACTAACATGCTATTAGGAAAGAAAATAGGAAGCATCATAGAAATCATAATTGATTTAAGAAACTTATTCTTTACCCTAAACATGATACTAGGGAGAAATAAACATCCTAGCATGATATTAGGGAGCAATAAACATCCTAGCATGATATTAGGAATCAAAATAACAACCTAAACATGATTTCTATATCAAAAGATCAAATAAACAACTAAAGTACTTACATGGATGTCTCGTACCTCTTTCTAATAACAAAATACACACGTTAGTAACTTCAAGCAAAATATAAAAATTAAAGAATTAAATTAAATAATTGAAATAGAGATTTGGGACCAAACCCTCAGAAATACCAAACCTTTCACGTTTAGGGCGAAGGAAACTTCAAATTATGCTAGGCGTGTCTAGATCTTGTGAATGCGGAATTCTGTTTGTAAAAAAGCTAGTTTAGAATGAGAGAGAGAGATAGATAGTTAGAGAGAGAGAGAGAGAGAGAGAGAGAGAGAGAGAGAGAGAGAGAGAGAGAGAGAGAGAGAATATCAAGAATTTCTTGATGAGAGTTGGTAATCCAAAACGGAGATTTAAGGAAGCTATTTATAACAAAAATCAGCCGGAACATGATAAAAAAGAATCAGAGTTTCGAGAAGAATAAAACACGACGCTGGCGCCGTACAAGCCTCTGTCGCCGCGCGACAGACTTGTTGCCAGGCGACAGCCTATGGTGCAGCGGTGCATGCAGTTTTTTTCACACGTTTTCATATTTTTGATAAAATTAAGCGTACGAGGGGTAAAATTGTAATTTCATTTAAAACACTTCTTTTATTCTAAATAAAACTCTTAAAACTCAATTATCAATGCTAATCACATTAGGATTCAAAAGAACCTTTTAGAAGATTGTAGAAGACTATAATCAATCCTCATTGCATTAGGAATGATAAATCATAATAGGCCCTCCTCTAGATAATTGGGCCGCATATAAAGATCAAATCGGGCTCAGCTTAGTAATTTGGCCATAACTTCCTCATTATTCATCGGAATTGGGCTTATAATATATCGTTGGAAAGCTCTTTTCGAACCCGATCCACATACACCACTATTGGACCCTTGTCATGGATCAAACTAAACTGGATTGGATATTTTCATAAAATAGGTTTTCAAAAACCGAGAGAAAGAAGATAATTAAAAACTAACCGCAACACCAAACTTTCCACACTTTCACTTCATTCGATTATGATTCAACGTGAAAAGTATTCATCACTGGGTTTGGTTTTGGGGAGACATATTTGGGTGTGTACAAGTATCATATTAAGTTGTGTTGTGATACTTGAACTGATTGATTGGTTATCCATGTCTTATATGTAAGCTTGTGAATATATTGGAATAATTATTAATATGAGCTTGATACAAGTTGAAAGTAGTTGAATTATGTTATACTATTTATTTATTCATTATCAAGAAGGCATACAGTTATATTTATTGAGCATGATTCCTAATTTTATTCTCACCCATTTATTATTGGAGTTGAGTAAAAAAAGTTAGTTATTTTTATTTACTCACCTACATAAGTTGAGGTCGAGTCATGAAGTTAGTTTATTACTCACTCAACTAGTTGAGATTGAGTCAAGGAAGTTATTAGTGCACCAAGGTAGTAATCGTGCAATTTTATGCACAAAACTAGGCAAATAACCTTAATTAAAATAAATAGTATGTACTCACTAATTTATTCAAGAATTAATTGGAAGTGTGTATTGATTATTGTTATGTTTGTTCTTGATTGATTGGTTTGAGTCATCACAAGTTAAATTGGTAAATCATGTAAAGTGTAAGAGGATACACACCAAAACTCTTAGAACGTATTTACCTTGATTATGAACATATGGGGGGAGTTATGTGACTTTATATTTGAGCGTAGCTTCTACAGGGGTACATGACGATTTATTTTCTTTTATTATTAATGCGCTGGAATTCTGTCACAAGGTGACATAGTAGGTGCCAATTGGGGTAGCTCCCTGATTGGAAGCTCCATTTTCAATGGACTATTTTTAAGGAAGGAAACCCGTTCAATCCGTTATCCAAAGCTATATATTAATAAGGAAAAGTTGAGTCATGAGGCAAAGGTAAGTTGACTTGTGTTGTATGGAAAGCATGCTTTATTTATTTATTTATTGTCTATTGCTAGGATATTTATGTTAGTGTGATTATTCCTCTTGGTGCATATGTACTCAGCTTTTGTTGATTCGTACTTTGTTGTTTGTGTTTGACTTTTCTTTGGATTGACCCTACCTACAATGACCCATTTTATGTGGCGAGTAGTGAGGTTGAAATAAAGAGAAGTACATGTAGCAGGAGCATATCAAGCATGATGGGAATGAGCGAAGAGGGTTGTATGTTTCTTTGTTTATTATTTATTATATTGGATAATTTATGTAATTGTGACACTAACTTTAATTATTGTTTTGATATTTTAAATATGGTTTTTAGGGGCCTTTAAAGGTTCCAAGTTAATGATTTAATGTAACTTGGTTTTGAAGTTGAGATTGGTTTTATTAAACTTTATTTTATTTGAGTTTTTAAAAGTTACTCTTCCGATGTGTGACTTTGAAATAGCCTTAGTCGTTATCACGGTAGCGGTTATACTTTGAATATTTCCTAAAAATGAGTTTTATTTGGAGCAAGAAGGTATTTTAAAGGAAGAGAATTTCCAAAGTATTACATACTCGCTCCTTTTTTTTAATAAGTGTTACACTTTGACCGGCAAATAGTTTTAGGCATTTTTATTGACTTAAATAAAAGGAAAATTTGTAATTATTAATCCCAACTTTCGCCCATTTGCTTTCATTAATCCCAATTATCGATTATTATTGAATAATCCCCAACTTTGGGGGGCATTTTCTATTATCAAGTCCTGACCGGTCAATAAAAGTCAATGACCTATTATAACAGGTAACTTGACACATGTCAAGCCCTGATTGGTCAAAAAAATAAAAAAAATATTAAAAATTACAAAAATTGAAAAAAAAAAACAAAAACCCTAACCTCTCCTTTTCGTTCACCGGACCACCATACCCTAACCCCCACCCTGACATCCAAGCCACTCTTTTACCACAGTAAAACTTAAACCCCAACCCTAACCTCGTCGGCCACCGCCTTTGGGCCATCAAAACCAATTGATCGGCGAACCCCGACCCCTATAACCACCAGCCGCACCACCACGACCCCTAAAACAACTGGTCAACGCAAACCTCTGCCTCCATTACCACCAGGAGAGCAAATCCCGACCCCCATTACCACCTGCAGGATGAATCCCGACTCCCATTACCACTAGTAGCGTGAACCTCGACCCCCAAAACCAACAGTCACGCGAATCCTGACCCCAACATCACCAGCCACGCAACCGTGGCCCTTAAAACCACCGTCCGCCGCAAACCTCAACCCCCAAAACCCTTACTTCCCTCCCTCACTCACGAAAACCACCAAACGCCCCTTCTCCACCATGTTATTAGGGTTTTCGTGAGTAGGGGAGGGAGATTGGTGGTTTTCGTGAGTGGATGAGGGAGATCAGGGTGAAGGGTGGAGATGCGTCTAGGAGGAGTTGCGGTGCTTGGGGGTTGTTTTCGGCTATGAGGGGTGAAAATGGTGGCTTGGGGGTTGTTGTCGGCGACGGGGGGGGGGGGGGGGTGAGGTTGCTGTGGTTTTCAGTGGGGTTGGGGAAAGAGATGGTGGTTTCCGATGGTGTTAAGGAAAGAGGTGGTGGGGCTATGGTTCTGGTGGGTATGGTTTTTAATTTTTTTTTTTCTTAAAAAAAATAACTAATGAAATTGCGACATGTGGCATGTAAGAAAAAAAATTACCTTTTAAACAGGTTACCAGTTATTTGACCTGATTAAAGAAAATGCCCCCCAAAATCGATAGTTAGGATTAATGAAAGTAAATGGGCGAAAGTTGGGATTAATAATTACAAATTTTCCTAAATAAAATAATAGGTAAGTGGGGTAGTTGAAGCATTTAAAAAATTTTAAAATAAAGATTCTGAGGTTAATAGTTTATTGAAAAGTAATGAATGTGAGATAAGAGAAATATAAAAAAGTAATAGTGGCTTTAGGTGAGGACCGGGAGAGGAGAGATACATAATATTAAAATGTAGCTTTTTACCAAAAAAAGAAGTATAACACTTATTTAAACACCCCAATATTTGATAAAGTAACACTTATTAAAACACAAAGGGAGTACCTAGTTTAAATATGATAAATTGAATACCGACGTTGGTCAAACCGACCAAAATTCAGCCAAACACGAAAAGAATCTCAATCAAAATTGATCCTCACCCTTATCTTAGTCAAATGGAACTTAACCAAACCAAAATCAACTAAATTGGAATCAATCTGACCTAAAGCCATCCACCAATTTTGAACCCGAACCGAATTTATCCGATTTAAAGTTGATCCGGCCCAAATTTAACTGGACATGATAACCTTGATCCGAAATTGATCCGACCTTTCACTTAGCTCTACTAGCCTGAGTGCTAACAAGCACCTGAAAATAACCCGATCCAAGAAGGATTAAAACTTAAAAGGGTAACCTTAACATAAGCGTTTGTTTTCGATCAGTTGGGCGTTTGAGATTTTATTTGGGTTAATAGATAATTGTGGGCTTTAAGTTGACACAAATTTATCGTGAATTGGGTCCGCCGTCCACTCAAAAGTAGCTGCCCTTTTAAACCCTTTATTTGATGTCCAGAAAATGATGCTACAACCTTGTGAGCTGTACTTTTGTCATTTCCCTTCACAAGTGTAATATGTAGTATTTATATCAAATTAAAATTTCAATTTGTGACCAATTTGTTTATTTGCTTGTACTTGGAACCGTACAAATCTACTTAGAAAAATCTTGTGCTTTTGATTTTTAAGAAGAAAGTCAGCCTACGCAAATTAAATACACTAATAATCAACAACCATATACTCCTACCACTTGGTTTTCAAAAAAAAAAAAAAAAAAAAAAAAAAAAAGAAAAAATTATACTCCTACCACTTGTTCTCTCATAAAATAGACAAGCAAAATACAAAGCCATTTAAGTTTCATCTCTTTTTTTTTTTTCAAAAATTTGTTGCCTTTAGAATTCTTAAAAAAATTGGATCTGCCATAATATACCATAACTTTCTCGTTTCTTATCATACATAAATTGGATGATCGAAAAATTCCTAGTATCTAAAATCCACAAGTCGAGTACGAAATTGAAGGCAGGGGAGAATATCACATATGTTCCATACATTAGACTCACATCATCAAATTAATCTAGCATGGATTCCAAAAGGCACAAGCAATTAAGGTAATTATTTATTAATTTCTTATTAAAATCAATATACATTGTTCATATTTTAGTACTACTAGTATATTTAATTATTTATTTATTTTTGTTTTTTTGCAGATTTGATGAAAATAATGGAAATGACTTACTAATGAAATCATCAGATACACCCTCTTCAACATACAAACACACCATTCCTTTCACAACAAGCATTAGAAATCACCACGAAGACGATGACAACAAAACATGGTGGAAACGGACCTTGGATCCCTCAAGTGAGGTAGCCTTAATGTGGAACCGTATCTTCCTAGTAGCCTGCATCATCGCGCTATTCGTTGATCCATTGTTCTTCTACGTTGCTGGAGTTGAAACAAATAATGAATCATTTTGTATGTCAAGGGATTTGGAACTAGGTGGTGTTGTCACTATTATTCGTACCATCACTGATGCGTTCTATCTGTTACATGTACTTCTGAGGTTTCGTACGTCTTTTATATCGCCGAGTACACGAGTTTTCGGAAAGGGTGAGCTTGTGAAGGATGCCAAGGAGATTGCAAGAAGATATGTTACTTCGGGGTTTTTCATGGATTTCATTGCTGCTTTGCCTCTTCCACAGGTTGGTCTAGCCTCTTTTTGGAGTACACTTTTTTTTTATTAGTATTTTATTAATTACGTGTTTTGAGTGTTTGTTTCATTTAAGTTGAACAGAAATGAATATGGAAACGAACATATGGAATCGGGGGATTCATTTATATAACTTAAATGTCAAACTATGCTAATTAATATGCCAATTGGTAAGGGGGTGGGTGACCGAAAATGTGATCGACAATGCTAACTTATTAATTGTTGCTTTTTTACAAAAAATTTGCAAGAAAAATTTGCAAGAAAAATTTGACAAAAAAAATACTAGTATAAAATGTTCTGTTGTTGACTTTTTACTAACTGCTCCCTTGACCACAGTTTTATGCTGTAAAACAGAGAAACGCTTCGTCTATAGGACTATAGAGATCTACATTGTGTCATTAACTCATTATTACGTGCAATCTTTCTTTGTGTCTCAATTTTTAAAGTATTTTTATTTTTCTTTGCTTGTGTAAAACAGAGAAAAATGCACACAATGATTTAATTGAGCGTGGAAGACGTAAATGTTGGATAACAAATTCATAATATCAGAAATTCAGAAGGATTTCTAAAACAACTTTCGAAACATGTTTCGAAACGTATGTATTGTCTGCCAAACGTTTTAGAATTAGTAAAGTTCCTAATAAACAATTAAACATCACATTTAATTTGTTTCCAAAAAACATCACATTTACTTGCCTCATATCAGAGCTGGTTCCATTATAATAATTTAATCTACTTGTATTTATTTATTTTTGTTTCTTTAAGCATTTCATCTACTTTTGTAAGACACACTAACACTTTGTCTTGTAAAGGAATTCTTGTTTGCCATGTTGAGGCTTGCTTGTGGTATGTGTAGACCTGGAAAACGGGTTCGGGTCGGGTCAATTCGGGTCGGGTTAATTTTGGGTCAATCAATATTTGGGTCAGGTTGGGTTAACTCGAGTTTCGGGTCAAATGGTAATTCGGGTTGGGTCTGGTATTGGATCGGTCAGCACTTCGAATTGAGTTCGGGTCGGGTCAGTCTTTGGATCCAATTATCGGGTCAAGTTTGGGTCAGGTTGAGTTCGGGTCGGGTCAAATTTGGGTCGGATTGAGTTAGAGTCGTGTCTATTTAGGCCAGGTCAATATTCGTCTGTGTCGATTTAGAAATTTGACCAATAATATATTATAACTATCAATAAGTATACAATATAACAATTGAATATTAATAAAATATATTCATTAGACAATTCCAATAGTGCTATATACACAAGATTGTATTGTTTCATATGGATGATCACTATTCACTAACATTGATTAATAGGTGGAAAAATTCAAAGTAGATAAAGTGAATAGTGGAAAAAAAATTCAATGTAACACTTAAAAGAAGCTAAGAGTAATAGTAATTATAACAATAACAAAAACTACCTCTTTATGAATTACGAGTACGTAATAAATTACACACATTTCAACATCATTATACACACAATACTGTATGGTTTAATTTAAGTTATTTTTGATAAGTGTTTATTCGGGTAAAGTAATTTAGCCCTAAATTAGTTAGGTCATTTTGAGTATTTGTTAAGTTTGGATCGGGTCATTTTGGGTATAGTTCGGGTCGCTTTGGGTCAAAATCGAGTTGGATCACTTTGGGTTTCGGGTCACTTCGGGTAGGTTGATTCAGGTATCGGGTCAATTTTGGGTTGGGTTGATTCGGGTATCGGGTCAATTTTGGGTCGAATTAATTCGGTCGGGTAAATTTGGTTATCTGGTCAACTATTTTTCGGGTCGAGTCAGGTCAACTTTGTATTCGGGTCAATTACGGATTTACGTTTTTGGGTCAATTTCGGGTCACGAGTCAAGTTCAGGATTGTCAGCTCTATGTATTGGTTGGCTTTTAATAGAGATATTTTTGAAATGAACAACGACTCAAAACGAAAATTGGAAAACGGGTAGGAATTTGAATATTTACATACATATTTGACCATTCAATTTAGTGGTAAGGATTTTTTTTTTTTTTTTTTTATTTTAATCCATGTAAAATGATTGATTCATAAGAAAAAAGACTTATGACATCTACAAAGAAACTAAAAATATCTGTTGAGCAGAGTTACGATCATTGTTCGTTGCAAATCGTACATTATTCATACCCTCTTTTATATCGCTGTGATTTACATCATTTTTCAACGAGGGGGTCTATTGATCTGTAGTAGTGATTTTTTTTGTATTTGATTCATTTGATTGTAATCGAAGGATTAACCTATTTATCGATCCCGCACAAAATTTTACCTATGAAACAACTTTTATTGTACTAAACTTAAAAGGCAATTGGCCTCAATAGCACCAACTATAGGTTGGGTGCAAAGAATACCACAATTTTAATCTTTGCACTCACAAACTATTAAGTTTAGTGCAGAAAATGTCATAAATGAGATCGAAACGTGTAATTTTTTTTTTAATATTTTAATATTTTTTTTACCAATTTTCACCATTTTTTAATTTTTCCTAATTTATTTAGTTACTTTATGATAACTAGCACGTGCTTCCTAATTACTTTTCTTTAATTTATAATATTTTGTAATTCATTATTAATTGCAACAAATGAATTATGTTTGGCAAAATAAAGTTTTCCAATGTCATAAATCGAAACCTCACAACACAAATTATACAAATTCATCCAAATTACACATCAATTTCAATAAATCGTCATAACACCAAAAAATACACTAATTTTATAGAATTATGAATAAAAAGAAAAATAACCAAATTTATGTGTAGGCATGGAGGTAGAAATTGAGTTTTTTATTTTTTTTACAACAGCACAAGATACAAGAAAACTAAGTAACGAAGCTAGAAAAATTAACTCTACACCCATTAGCAATCAAGTGTGCCCTATGCACTTGGTCTCTGCTCACCTTCCAAACCACACAAAAATCTAAGCCATTTGCCTCCCTTTTGATATCTCGAATGGTCCATAGAATGTTGATGTCAGGATGTTGTTGGTTATCAAGGATGCTGACCAGAATCGCAGAGTCCGAGAAGAGTACTATTTCCCCCCATGTTTTAGTCTTAGCCCATCTAATGGCCATGAGGCAAGCTAGGGCCTCCGCATGAAGCGTTGAGTTTGCTTTACAGTAGTGTCCTCCTCCCTCGTGAAATTGGCCATTTGTATTAATAAAACCCCAACCCATGCCTGCGGTTCCCGTAGACTTCTGCCACGAACCATCTAGAAGAATCGTCATTCCCTGAGAAATTGAGTTTCATAATTTACCAAAGTTGAACTTAGAGAATGTTTTGTGCCAATTGATTGCCTAGGGTTTTAGGATTAGTCTTCGTCTTCTTCCTCGTTGATTTTGGTGTTATTCAAGGAGTAGTATTACTTATTACTAATTTAGGGATAATGGGTGAATTATAATCATGGGGGCATGTTCTTAGCACAGTAATAATTATACAGGTGAGAGAATTTTTTAAGAAGGGTAAAATTGGTTAAAAATATTAAAATAATAAAAATATGTTTTTTAAGTAGGATTTATGGTCTTTAGTACTTCTTCCGTTACTTTTTTATTGCACTATGAGGGATTTCACGCTTGTCAATGCATTTTTTTAACTATTAATATCTTTAATTATACTTTTGTAAAAATTATAAAAATTTGATATTTGAAAAGAATATTTCGAGACGAATCTAACTAGATCCCACATGACTATATTTTTCCGAATGAGTAAATCAGAAATGATGGTCAAAGAAGATTAAGTGAATAATGTAAAAGTCCTAATGGTGCAATAAAATAAAAACGGAAGAAATATCATTTATGACATTTTCTGCAGCAAACTTAATAGTTTGTGATGTGGAGTGCACCCAATTAAGGTTGTGTTGGTCTCTGCACTCAACCTATAGTTGGTGCTACTGAGGCTGCCAATTTTGCCTACTTAAATAACAAAAACAAAACCAGAACAAAACCCACCATATGTGCACTTACTACACTTAAAAGCCCACTAGGTGAATTTTCATGCTGATAATAAACCTCATTTTTTTTAAAAACACAATCAACATGAAAGCAGGCTCCGCACATGAAGTGGATGTCAGATTTTCAGCAATTCAATCTGGTGATAAGTTCGGAAGGGTTTATGTCTTTATGATTACTTTCTCTACTACCTTTAAAGTTCAAAGAGTGTAGATTTATTAAATTCAATAACAAAATATAAAGAAACTAAAAACAAAGTATTGAAAACAGGTAAATTTCCGGAAAAAATTGATTATATTCGGCCTATTAAACATTTTTTTTGAAGAACTCTAGAGAGAAAAAATCGAGAGGAGACAGGTAGGGTTAAACTTTACTTTTGTGTGATATAAATGTTTACTGCACTCACTCAGATTTTATGTAATTTTTAACTTCGTACCTTTTAACTTATCAATTTAGTCTTAAAATTTGAAGGACGCATGTTTTGTGTTTTAAGAATTGTTGTTTTAGAATATGGGCAGACAATATTAAATCAATTTTACAGATTGTGAATGTTCATAGGTGTATATTGCTAATGCAGGGTCTAATTAAGTTTTGCAGATTGTGATATGGTTCATCATTCCAGCCATTAAGCACTCAAATAATTCAAGAAGTACAGATAATGCACTTCAGCTAATTGTTTTCTTTCAATATTTTCCGAGGGTATATAAGATTTTTACGTTGAGTTCTGATATCGTCAAAGCTACTGGAGTTGTCACCAAAACTGCTTGGGGTGGAGCTTCTTATAACCTGCTATTGTACATCTTAGCTAGTCATGTAAGAATCTGTCCAATCTCCTTGAGTTTAATCATATCGATTTTAATTAATTCCTTACATAACACCACATTCGCTTCTTCTTTTTTGTTGGTTATATTGAGTTTAATCTCTCTCTCAGAATAACACACGTTGAATTTTCTTTTTACTATTTATATGTTAACTTCGATTATAATTTTTTATTAAGATAATATAAACATATTTTATAATAAAATATGACGTTAGATAGGTATTAATATAAAGTGTTATAAAATAACTTTTTAATTTTTTTTTATCAATATTTAACTATATAAAAAGTAGAAATTTTTTTCACTTACCACTTATTGCTGATTTAGGAATTATCACCTACAAATTTTTATTTTTTTTTATTTTTGTTTTTTTTTTTTGGAAATTTACCACCTACTATATTTAAAACATCAAAACTTTACACATATTTGGCTCTGAACCGAAGTGTAAAGTCATGTCATTGATTACCTTCTCACCATATTTCCCTCTTTTTCTTTCTTCAATTCGTCTCCTGATTTCTCATTCTCCTACATTGTAATTCTTACAAAATTGGGGAAAAACTTCAAATTAAATTACTATTCATATTAGTTATTTTAGGAATTGAAGTTTTTCCCTAATTTTATGAGTAGTAATTTACAGAGTAATGAGAAATCGAGGCTTTGGTCCACAAACTACGTAGGAAAAATTGTTGGAAAGTAAAAATAACAACAATGGTTGGTGATAATTGTCCAAAAATCATAAAAATAAAGTTGAATTTGTGTATCAATATGTGTGTAAAGTTTGACTATCCGTTATCATGATACATATAAAGTATAATTTACCCTATTGTGTGGTTTATGTTGCTATATAGTAACTGGATCCAATCTAACCATCATTTAGGATCGGACGTAGTAAAAACCTATTATTTGATTGATTATATAGTTTAGCTTCTTTCACCTTGCTTGTAGGTTGTTGGGGCAGCTTGGTATCTAATGTCCATAGAAAGATACTCATCGTGTTGGAAATCGGCTTGTAGAGACGAAGTATCACCCATCAAATGCCAGCTGAGATACTTAGATTGTAGTACTATAAATGATAATGATCGTATCATTTGGAGAAATAACACCCAAGTATTTTCCAAGTGTGATCCGGATAGCAAAGATGTTATCTTCGACTTTGGGATATTTGAAGTTGCATTGGAAAAAGGCATTGCCTCTGAGAGATTCAAGATCAAGTACTTGTATTGTTTATGGTTTGGAGTACAACAATTGAGGTAAAGTAACTCTATGCTATGGCAAGTAACATGGTTTCTAATTTTTATGTGCATTTCATATAATATGATTTCCATTTGCTTAACAACATACAATTGAATACCTTTCTTTCAGCTCGTTTGGTCAGGAATTGGAAACAAGCACATTCATCCTAGAAACCGTGTTTTGCATAGTCATTGCCATATTGGGTCTGATTTTGTTTGCTCTCTTAATCGGTAACATGGAGGTAAGGTTTGATTTATGCAATGTTTGATATGCATGTTATTTATGCAATGTTTGATATGCATGTTATTTTACGATTATGGGAAAGGTTGGTGGCTAGTAATTGAGAGAACCAAAATCAAATTATCGCAATTGATACCATGATAGAATCAAAATTCTCGGTGGCTTGTCATTCTTTGAGTTTCTTAATACATACATACTCCGTACAAACTACATAAGATCGATTAAATAGTACCTACGTATATGAATAAGCCTTTAGGATCAAAGTTTCCTTAACCTTCAGTTATATTTGAAAACATGTTAATATGTTAGGCAGAGACCTGAGACCTTGAAATGAGTAACATGAGTTAGATCTTAGATTACTGATATATTGAACTACATACGTTAAATCAGAACTCTCTTTAAAAAACAATCTTTTTCCTCCAAATAAATATCTATACAGGATCATATATAGTTCACCATCATTAGCCATTTTCATTGAAAAATTAAGTACTGTGGTAGTACGCAAAAACAGAGAAGGACAAGGCAACAACCCAAAACAAACAATGTTACAAGATTTACTGCAATTTCATATGGTTAGGAAATAAAAAAAAAACCCGAAAATTAGTTTTTCAAATATATATAGCATACGATAGTGGTTAATTTTAACATCTAAATATAAGTAACAGGAATGATTCTATTCTTGGAAGTGTCAATTATAACAGACAACTAAAAGCACTTTGGTGAATTTTGCTAGTGACAATAATGTAATCTTAACATACATCTAAATAGCTGATTTGTATCCTAAGGGAAAATTTTGAGCTTTCCAAGGCCTATAAGTTGGCTTTTAAGAGAAAAAGTTATAGTATGATAAGCTAGTTAAAAAGTTTCTTTAAGAATCAACATGGTAAAAAATTGAGAATTAACAGGCTTCAATTAACAATTTATGCAACAAATTTGGAGTGCCTACTGTTTATATAGATAATAGGTGAACTTTTCGTTTGTGTGCGCGCTTGAGTGTATGTGGTTTGAGGTTATTCCTACTTATGCTTTGAAAATGGATAACACAACTTGTAGACCTATTTGCAATCTCTCACTTCGAGGCTCGAGCAATGGAGGCTCAGAAAACGCGACACAGAAGAATGGATGAAACATCGGCAGCTACCTCCACACTTGCAACAAAGGGTGAGACGATATGTTCAGTACAAGTGGCTGGCAACCCGAGGAGTCAATGAAGAAGCAATATTGAGCTCCTTGCCATTAGATCTTCGGCGTGATATTCAAACACATTTGTGCTTAGATCTCATTCGACGAGTAAGTTCCATTTTCTTACATAAACATGCTTGATTAACACTTTGTTATTGCGGATTAGCACCACAAATTTTTAAAGTAGAAAAATTTGTCACAAACCACCTTATTTTATTTATTTATTTTTGTTAAAAGACACCTAATTTGAATAATTTATAATCAGTTGTGTTTTAAAAAAAAAAAAATTTATAAGGTGGTTTGTGACAAAGTTAGTGTTTTGTAAGGTGGTTTGTGACAATTTCTATTGAATTTAATTTGCAGTTTCCTGATAAATAAAAATTTTATGCAGGTTCCTTTCTTTGCACAAATGGATGGTCAATTACTAGACGCCATATGCGAGCGGCTCAAATCTTCACTAAACACTGCAGGAACTTACATTGTTCGCGAGGGAGATCCTGTTACAGAAATGTTATTCATCATACGAGGAAAACTAGAGAGTTCGACCACAGATGGAGGGCGGTCAGGGTTTTTCAACTCGATCACATTAAGACCAGGTGATTTTTGTGGCGAAGAGCTTCTAGCATGGGCTCTTCTTCCGGATGCAACTCATTATCCTTCCTCCACAAGAACAGTCAAGGCCATCGAGGAAGTTGAAGCCTTTTCATTAGAAGCCGAACACCTTAAATACGTGGCGAATCAATTTAGGCGTCTACATAGTAAGAAGTTACAAGACACATTTCGTTACTACTCTCACCAGTGGAGGTCATGGGGCGCTTGCTTCATTCAGGCTGCTTGGAGACAGTACAAGAGAAAGATGGATCAAAATAGTCCGAGCTCGAGTTCGAGTTCAAGCAACAGCCAGAGCAAGTCATTATCTGTTTCCTATACTCAAACGACTTCATTTGATCACAATGATGATGATCACGACGATCAAATTAGTGAACTCGGAACTTCATCTCTGAATATACAACAATTGGCGAGAAGATTCGTGAGAAATGCTAGAAAAAGTGGACCAAGAGACATGGATATTGAGTTGCCAAAGATAAAGAAGCCTCAAGACCCTAACTTTTTTGCGGATCATTGAATAAACACTCCATTTCTCAACTACTTTTCTCTTTTCTTTCTTTTTTTTCAACAGAGGAAGATTCACTACTGGTGCCTTAAAGTGAAAATAATATGTGTAGATGAACTTATGAAGTGTACTCTTTGGCGGTTTCCTTTTAACACTTTTATTAGGTAATATCTAACCAATGAGGTCTTGCCATCCTGGTCTTATGGCAAAGACGGAGGGTTTATGAACATTTAGTCGTATCTATGTTGATATTCTCTTTCCCCCATTTGTAGTTTGTTTTGGTGTTTGAATGTGAAGCAATGGCTACTTGATCGATCTCAAAAGGAGAAGAACAGATCCCGAAAACTGAATAAGACCAATGTGAAGGACTGCTTAGGAGACAAGAAAATACCTCCTAAGGAGCATCTGGGTGTGTAGACAGCCATTTGTGTCTTCCCAAAAACCAAACCCGGTGAAGAATACCTTTCACGTCGAATCATAATCGAATGAAGTGAAAGTGTGGAAAGTCTAGTGTTGCGGGTAGTTTTAATTAAATTCTTTTCTTTCTCTCTGTTTTTGAAAACCTATTTTATGAAAACATTCAATCCAATTTAGTTTGGTCCATACAAGGGTCCAATAATAGTGTAGTTGGCTTGGGATCGAAAAGAGTTTTTCAACGATATATTATAAGCCCAATTCCGACGAATAATGAGGAAATTATGACCAAATTACTAAACTGGGCCCGGTTTGATCTTTATATGCGGCCTAATATATAGAGGAGGGCCTATTATGAATTATCATTCCTAATGCAATTAGGATTGATTATAGTCTTCTAGAAAGTTCTTTTGAATCCTAATGTGATTAGGATTGATAATTGAGTTTTATGAGTTTTACTTGGAATTAAAGAAGTGTTTTAAATAAAATTACAGTTTTACCCCTCGTATGGACTTTTACGCCTAATTTTATCAAAAAATGGAAAACGTGTGGAAAATTGCCTGCAGCATCGCACACTCATCAATTCTTCATTCAATGCTCACCAACTCTCATCAAGAAAATCTTGATTCTCTCTCTCTCTCTCTCTCTCTCTCTCTCTCTCTTTTATTCTAAACCAACCTTTTTACAAACACATAATTCCGCATTCACAAGATCTAGACACACCTAGCATAATTTGAAGTTGCCTTCGCCCAAACGTGAAAGGTTTGATTTCTGAGACTTTGGTCCCAAATCTAGTCTAAACTTTCTTAATTGTTTGTTTATATTTTCCTTGAGGTTACTAACATGTGTATTTTGTTATTAGAAAGAGGTACGAGGCATCCAAGTAAGTACTTTAATTGTTCAATTGATATTTTGATGTAAAAATCATGCTTAGATTGTTATTTTGATTCCTAGTATCATGTTAGGATGTTTTATTGCTTCCAAATATCATGTTTAAGGTGATTTGCTTATATCAAGTATGATTAAAAGGATGCTTCCTATTTCTTTCCTAATAGCATGTTAGTATCATGTTAGGGCTAAAGTTTTGATCTTTGATGTTTAGTAACATGCTAGGGTTTGTTATTAATCTTCTTAGTATCATGCCTAGGATCTTGCTATTATTATGTTTTAACGTTGATATTATTATTATTATTATTATTATTATTATTATTATTATTATTATTATTATTATTATTATTATTATTATTATTATTATTATTATTATGTTGTTGTTGTTGTTGTTGTTGTTGCTTGATTATATTTATTTTTATTGCTTGATCACACCTTTTATGCATGTTTAAAGGGAATTTGTTTTTGTAATCACGCTTAATTAGATAATTAATAATCTTATTTAGGTTAATTTTATTTTAATTCAAGTGATCGCCAATAATAAATTTATTTTTGCATTAATATTCAACCAACATAGATAAACAAGTTTAGGGTTAATCCTATTGATTGTATGTTAGTCAGAAAGCGCACATGAATACGAGAAGAATAAAGTAGAGGCTTATTATCAGGGCAGGTTTGTAACACCCTAGAAATTCCTTTCCTTTAAATACCCATTCTACTCTTTTAAAAATACGATTTAGGAACAACTAAGACATTACCGCCACCGTGAAAACGGCTAAGGCAATTATCAAAGATACGCAGCGGAAGACTCAAGATTAAAAACCGATTAAACAAGTCAACACAAAGTCAACCAAACGAAAATAAAGTTTTAAAAACCAAACGAACAAGTCAAGTAAAATCAAAATACAACTTGGAACCATTAAAGGCCCTTATTCAAAAACCGTTCCCAAAACCAAACCTTTGTGTTAGTCCACACCAAATATATCATAAATAAATAAAGCATAAAACACCTTGTAACCTAATGAAACCTAGTAGGATTCACTCTTCACTCATGCCCCATTATAATCATACTTCAATACCTGAAAAGTTTATCTCTACTTGTTTCCACTACTCTCCATTAAAAATGGGTCATCATAGGGCGAAGATAAAGACATGGCCAAATACACAAACACACACAATCAGCAAAGCTGAGTACATAAGTGTAAATTAGCCACACTAACATGCTTTTACCTATCAACACACACTTACCTCATTGCACCTGTTCACAAGCACACACACCAAATCAACAAAACACAATGACTAGACACTAATTAATTCATTTTGCATTGATTACACATCGAATGGGTTTCCACCTCCTAACCTCCCCCAAAAAAATTTGAGTTTAACTGAAACGGGAGCTAACCGTGCCAGCGACAAAACCACACAAAGGTGGCGGAATTCCTGCGCATAATAATAAATAAAAAGAAAGGAATATACAGCGTCCTGTACTCCATTAGAAGTTATGGTTAAATATAAAACCCCATAACTCCCCCATTGTTCATATTAAAGGTATATACGTTCTAAGAGTTTTGGGGCGTAATCTCTTTCACTTTACGTTATTTACATATTATTAGACTTGGTGATGACTCTCAAAGCATAATAAGTCAATCAACAATAATTATTCAATCAAACAAACATACCAATTTAATTCTTGAATAATTAGTGACCACGTATTAATTATTGTTGAACCCTTTTTAATTCTACCTCAGTGTCAAAGACACCTTAAACGCATAATGCGCCAAAAATCCTATCCCTCGGTGTTAAAAACACCTTAAGTGCATAAAGGCACCAACATACAATTTATTCCTTGTGTACATAGACACTTATATAGCTCATTCCTCATGCTTAAAGCATCAATAAAAACTATTTGAACCATAATAAAATTCCTTTTCAATATTCCAAACATAATTAAACATGTAGTTTAATTAATCATGCCTTCTAACATGCCATAAATAAAAAGGTGGTTCAAATACAACATGCCAAAAATATAATCTTCCAATCTATAACCATCACAAATAATTCATGCTTCCCAATTCAACCACAAACATCATAATTTCACAATTCCATACATAAACCTTAGCATGATAATACTTGTAATTAATTGAAACCAAACCTAGCATGATTCTACATCACCAAAATATGCTAAGTACGCGTACGTACCTTGAGTACGTTATTAAAACTGCCACGACTAGTAGAAATTGCTTACTTCAAAGTCTCCTACACATTAAATCCATAATAGAGTATTAATATCCACTCTAAAAAAAATTTCAGCAATATATACTATTTTAAAACCCTTCATAATTTAAATAGAATAAGCTGAAATTATATTTAAAACTCCATAAATTAAGTCCCAATTAATGGGTAATTAAAATTTCTTCAAGAAACATAATAACAAGTGTTCTACATAAAATTCCAGCACTTTATTATAATTAAAACTTGTTGTAATTATGTTTTAAAACACTTAAAACAAAGGCCTACCCTATAATACATCATAATCTTTCAATAAATCATGAATGAAGAACCTAGGGTTTAAAAAATTGGGGCTTTTTAATTAAAAACCAGATTTGAAAATTAATTAACACAATTTTAATAACCAAACATCAAAATTAAATCTCCAAACTCATAATTTATAATTAGACTATAGCATAGATTAGTTTTGGGTAATAAAGATTTGATTTTTAAAAAGAAAAACCCTTTTTTATTTTCGAAAAAGCATGGCTGTCGAAAGCAGGCCTGCGCCACTGCCGGTGGTGGCCGATGCTGCCGGCTGGTGCTGGTAGCCGGCGGCCCACCGGTGGTGGTGGTGGATGCCGGTGGTGGCTGTGCGCGGCAAGAGGGGAAGGGAAGGAGAGAGAAAGAAAAAAAAGAAAGAAAAAAATAAAGAGAAAAGGGAGAGAAGTTTACCTTGGGTTTTCTCCACTCTGGGAAACGTTGAATTGCCTCATAAGAGGGATATTTATACCTCTTCTCTATTTCCCCTTATACCCTAAACTTTCCTCCTTTAGATTTTCCTAATCCCTTCCTTACTAAAACTTGTTAAAAATCATAATTTCTTAAAATAAAACCCCAAATTCCATTAATTAATTAATTAGACAACCTTTCCTTTGGTAAAATATTCCCAATTTACATGGGATAAATAATTAAAACATCATAATTAAAATGCTAGAATTATTTAAATACCCTTATAATATATATATATATATATTAAATAAAATACGTATAAAAATACGGGGTATTACAGTCTACCCCCCTTAAAATAAGTTTCGTCCCGAAACTTGGGAAACGAATCTCAAAAATTTTCCTTTTTGTGTATAGTATTGCTGTACTTTTTGTCATTTATCACTCCTTTGTGTCTCTTTGAGAGCACTAATACCTAAAACACTTAATAGAATTTGTGCAAAAAGCACCAGAAATATATAAACATAGGGAAAAAGCGCGAAATTCTATCGCATTCCACCCCCCTTAAAGAAAACGAGTTACGCCCCCGTAACTCAACACACCTGAAACAGTTCTGGGTATTTCTTTTTCATTTCATCTTCTGCCTCCCAAGTGGCTTCCTCATATTCTTGGTTAGACCAAAGTACTTTCACAATGTTAACGTTCTTATTGCGTGTACTACGCACTTTACTATCAAGAATCTTGTCAGGTCTCTCTTCATAAGTTAAGCTTTGATCTAACTCAATGGTTTCGGGTTGTAGCACATGGGATTTATCAGGGATGTACCTTCGCAGTTGGGACACATGAAATACACAATGTACTTTACTAAGCTCCATAGGTAATGCTAACCTATAAGCTACCTTGCCAATTCTTTGCAGTATTTCATATGGACCAATGTATTTGGACTGAGCTTTCCTTTCTTTCCAAATCTCATCACCCCCTTCATTGGTGACACCTTCAACAACACTTTATTGCCAAT